ACCCCAGGTACAATTGTGATTTTTGACAGCTCTGGGAGGAAATATATGCTCAGCTAGAGGCCTTTGTTGTTTACAAGGTCTTTTTTCAGCATTAATGCCGCCAGCTGAGCTGACCTTAAAATTAGAAGCGCATAAAATGCTCAAGTCCCAGGTTGTTGTTCTGCAGTGTTTTTATTCTAATGATATCTGAAAACGAGTGGTCCCTGTGCTGAATTAAAAGATTCAAGTTCAAAGACCTGCTCATCTACATCTCTGTTTTGTTCTCAATTGGATAATGTTGTTCAGCTTTTGCAACAAAACAGTCATGACAGCTTGCATTTTAACCAGGATCCCCAACTCCCTCCCTTAAAAGCGTAAGATCCCAAACCGACTGCAGGCAGATATATGAAACTGTATCCTGCACAAAGCTAGCCATAAATTGAGGTTTTCTGCAGCTGTTTCTCCATGAAAAGTAAAACAATTATCCTATAGGGGAAAAAACAGATACCTTAGCAGTAGGAAAAACCTCCACATTCTGCTCCAAAAACACACACACTAATGATATACTTCCTATCTTGAATACTTTATAAACTAATTTGCATGATGTTGCAGAGGTTTTTTTTATGCCTGGAAGCTGGACTATGGTATCAACTGTCAGGGATTTCAACAGATGTACCAAATTACAGGCATTCCTATTTCTAAGAATTCATACTGCATTAGGACTTAATCATCCACTTGTCAAGGATGACAGGAATTTCAGTCCACTATCTTAGGAGGAACAGATTCTCTACCGGGCTAAGCATGTTCATGGTTTCCTTAATACATATTTTAAAAAAGGAAACTGAAACAACTAGAAAAGCCATTTTTCTACAATCCGAGCAACTACAACTCCCAAATGACAAAATCAATCCCCCTGCAACCCCACCAGTATTCAAATTTCGGTGTGTCAGGTATTTGTGCCACATTTGGTATGGTTAATGAAAATACATCCTGCATATCAGATATTTACATCACAATTCATAACAGTAGCAAAATTACAGTTATGAAGTAGCAATGAAAATAATTTTATGGTTGGGGGTCATCACAACATGAGGAACTGTATTAAGTTGTCACGGCATTAGGAAGGTTGAGAAACACCGGCCTAGAGGAAAGGTAACACCAGTTTTTGAATGCTGCGTTTTTTGTTAATTCTGCTTGATAACACTTAAGCCATAAAAAGTATTGTGGCCATAAAATGTGTACAGAGGACTGTGTACTGTTATAACTGGAGAAATGGACAGAATACCACTTTGCTCCATTTATGTTGGTGCAAAAGACATCAAGAGTAGAAACAAGCAGCCTGGCTATGTACTGAAAACAAGCTGTATAGACAAATATAATTCATCGTATATGAGGCTTCCCTTGCAGACTAATTAATAGGCATGGTTCTAAATGGTTCTAAAGTACTTACAAAACTAAAGTTCTGGTTGTAAAAACTAGGGGGCACTGGTGCTTTACTTCTACAGTGTTGCTAAAGTTCTGGTGGTGAAAATTTCAGAACTCTAACAAAACTTTCAAAATTTCATTATTATTTCATGATTGTTGATTTTTATGACAGAACCAATTAGGAACTGCCATTTATAGTGAAATGTTAAAAGTTTTGTTAGAGTTCTGAAATTTTCACCACCAGAACTTTAGCAACACTGTAGAAGCAAAGCACCAGCCCCCCCCCCCCAGTTTTCTCCACCAGAACTTTAGTTTTGTAAGTATTTTAGAACTTACAAAACTAAACCATTTAGAACCATGGATTGCCCATGAGTACTAACTGGGATCAAATATACCTCATCAGTGTTGGAGAAACTGCTGACAGTCATTTGGATGAAAGCCCAAATAGAAAACTTAACGAAGATCATTGTTTTCCTTCCCAGAACTAACAAATTATGGTACAACCCCAATATTGAATAGGATACATTAATAGACTTGGCGTGGATTGGATAAACAAAAAAATAGATAATAGCACTCCCTGTTAAACTGAAGGACCCCTGGCCTGAGACTACCACAGAAGCTTGCTAAAGTACCTAGAAAATACCTATGAACAACATATTTTGTCAGATGCTGATCACTGAAACCATACTGGTCCAATGAATAAGGGGTTGTATTTTAATACCAAACTTTATTTGCTGCTTAGAATTTTCCAGCTGTTTCAGAAAAGGAAGAGTAACAGTGACACCTTGTGGAGTAAATCAATTACTGCAGGGTTGATCAATTCAACATGAAACGAAAACTCTGGGAAAGAAATAATTATCTCCAAAGGAAGCGAGGATCACTCACAGGATTTGTTGTGAAAATACTGTTACCCTATTTTTAAGACTGATTTCATTTGAATTCAGACTGGCTCAGATTTAGCCCTCAAATCTCAAAGAAAGAAAGAGGTGACAAGGAGAAGGAGGAGAAAAAGATAAGGAGAAACAACTGCGAATACAATCACCACGATATATCACTATGTCATGTGATTTTTATCCCTGAGTTATAAATATCATTTCCTAATTGGTTCTATCATAAAAACATGGAAAAGTGTATTAAACTGAAGACACATTGTTTTTGCATTCTGCACAAAAGGTTAAAAATGGCACATGGAAAGGTTTAAAATGGCACACGGAAAGGTTAAAAATGGCAGCCACAAAAATGAAGTTTCTGGAGTAGAACAACAACTTTCAAAGAAAAGTACCGCACAATTAATCAGGAAATAATACTTTCAAACCAGGAACAGATTTTTTTCTTCTTTAAATTTTGTTACATAGTGTAATGATTGCAAGCAAGTAGCAAGAGGTTTAAATAGATAGAATTCATAAGGACGAGTGGGTCTTTAATGGAAAGGGATCATAATTCCATCTCCACAGGAATCAAATTAAATTGTGTCTCTTGCAATGAGCTCAGCTGCAAAGGGCAACAGAGGCAGAAGGCTTCATTGCGCTTGCAATACACCACCGATGTTTAACGTTTTGCTTTCCTATTCCCCAGTGCCCAGAAATACCATTCAGGCTTTGTGCTACAGCTAGATACTAAAGGACTGACATTTCCAAGGAAATACTTCGATCAGTTAGCTGCAGAGGGAGAAAAGTGCACCTGTTTCCTAGATACTCTTTCATATCTGTCCCCTCTTGGTTCCCTTTGCTCTTTAGCTTAACATTCTCTGAAAACCTGCTATCTTATCAGTGTTTCCGAATCCAGATATTCCCTGGCCACTCAAGGCAAAGGGAAGTCATCACTTCCTGCCAGTGTCAAGGAGAAAACGACTGGGATCTTAAAAGAGCTTCTTTTCTTTTATGTCTGAAGGGCATCTTATTGACTACAAAGCTTCCTTTGCACAAAAATGACTTTTTAGAGATACAATGACTTGGATAACACAAGGTATTATATGTATCTTTAAAAATATTTTCTTTTAGAAAATGCAATGCTGCCCTCTTCAGGGACATTAGGAAATTCCACTGAGGATTGGCTGAATCGTCCTGTTTCATTTCTTCTTGGTGTTCTTGGCGTCCCCCCTCCCCCTCTCTCTCTCTATATATATTCAAAATAATACTTGTGTGTGTGTGTGCACGTAAGAGAGAGAAAGAGAGAGAGAGAGAAAAATTATATATATATATATATATATAGAGAGAGAGAGAGAGAGAGAGAGAGAGAGTAACTCATGATAAAGGCAGGAGAGCCATGTTTGGTTGCCTAATGTGATTTTACCAAAGGACTATATTCCAAAAATTTAAGGGAAAATAGGCTGCAATGAAAATGTAGCTACAGATGAACTTCCAGATAATGGAGTGAGAGGTGGGCATTTACTGGACTATCTAGGGTAATGGCTCCTCTAGATTTTTTAGACAACACTTCACAGAATTCCTGAAAGTTGGCTGAGCTCGCTGAGGCTTCTGGGATTTGAAGTTCGAAACACCTGGAGGCCCACATGTCTAGAGGATCTGCTCCAATGCCACAATTGAATGATAACAGGGCAGAAGAAAGCAGAAATCCCAGATAGTCTTCTGCAGTGCACACTGACGCCATACAGACATGATTCGAATTCTTCACATCCAGGTGCCTCTCTTGTGATATATCTCCAACACACCACAAGATCATGCTCCAACCACTGTATAAAGTTATCATCACAAAATTGTGGAAAGAATAATGTAGCTAATGGAAGTATACAAAAGAGCAACACAAGTGATCAAGGGTTTGAATAATCATACTTTCATAACATTTGAGCTTTTTTTGGTTTGAAGGAAAACATGATCATGGAGGATTGCAACAGAAGTATAATACAGCATTGAATTTTTGCTAACTTGTAAGCCACTGTGAGTCCCTTTCAGGGTGAGATGGGCAGGGTATAAATATAGTAAGTAAATAAATAAATATTTCACACAATGGGGGAAAGGGACTTAGAGAAAGGTTTTCTTTCCATTTCCTGAAAATATGGAACAGGGGATCATACAGTGAAGCAGATAGACAGAAGAGTCAGAGGAATCTAAAACATACTTCTCCCCAAGCAGTATAATCAGTGGAAAATAAGACATGTTGCCTCTTTGATTTTGGGAGTTGGAATGCAGAAATGCATGCTCTACTCTTTGATAGTCCTGCTTCGTGAAATCTCTATGAAATTGCCATAGATTGAAATAGGGACCTTTTTGGATGTAAACGATCTCATTTGCCATTTAACAAGATTCCATATGTCTTAATACTTGAAGTCTGAAGGAACAGAGACTGAAATTTGAGGAAAACAGAGAGCAATGTATCTGCAACTGTCCCACGTTTTTGCAGCACTACAACACTCAGGATTATTACCTGGTTCTTTATCTAGAAAACAAATGTTATTTATCACACCTTTTTTAAAAACAGATTTGGTACTACAAGATCATCTCATTCCTTTTGGTACCTGCATAGCGCCACATTTTCACAGTTGAAATTCCTTTTTTTGTTTAATTTTTATTAAGAACAAGAGGGAAAGTAGCAGGTATCATGTGTAGAAAATGTCTGGGCATGTTCTGAAAACTCACCATACTGTTCATTTTTGATGAAGAGGAGCTTGCTCTTTGCTTTCGAAGACTGTTGGATTCTTCTAGGCTCCCATCCTTTGGCTTTAAGATCATCCGGCTACTCCCAGCAGTGCCTTCTGAAGAGGACCTCAATCGTTTTTCTATGAATCTTCCCTCTCGATATGGGCTAAAGCTACTGGCAAGATTTACTGTAAAGAGAATGGCACAAATACACAGGTAGTCAGCACCTGTATTAGATAAGATTAACATTTTTGTACACCAGGTTGGGCAACTGCAGAGACGTCAGAGGCATTTATCATCTCTAATCCCAAGCTCCAGGGGAGGCCCAAGTAGTCTCATTATTGATCAATTTTGGAGCAATTTGTAGGAGTGGGGAGGGGAGTTCTTCAGAGTTACGGAGATCTTGTGTGGGTTGTATAAGCAGAACTGCCTTATTTTAAGCTATTTTTTATCAGTTTTGGTTCAATGATATCACTATTTTTCGAAATTTAAAAATGATTTGGTGTCAGTAGACTTGGAAGGGCTTTGGTTGTGGGGTCACGAAATAGGGACCCTTCGGTTGCATATGACCATGTGTCACACCTCCCCATCTTTTTGTACACAGAACTACCTTACTGAAAAATAGAGTTAACTCCAATGGGTTTACTTTTGACTTAAGTATTACATTCAGAAAAGACCATAACAATACTTGACTCAAAGTTCTTGGGAAACTATTAGGGAAGATGGAAAACAACGACAACATGTCGAGTGATTGTATAAATTGGTTGTTTGTTGGTTTTAAAGGGTGAAGTTAAGAATTTCACAAGAAGCACTGGAGGTCTGATTAAAAACCTCTTCTATCTCACCTATGATGCAGAAAACTTGTTGAAACTCAGCAAATCTGGATCTGGTTGGTTAACTGCCTGAATCATATATTAAGCGTATTAAGTGGGGAGAGGGGGAGGTGGGATACTAGCATACCAAATGTAACATGCTTGCATTCTAAGGGGGGGGGGGCACCAAAGACTGAAGCATTATGAATTATATTTTGAAATTGCTACACTAAATGAATGCCAAATGTCATGTACAACAACAAATTATTATGTTACAAAAGAAGCTCAATGATATTATGCCAAGAACAAATATTTAGATAGAATGAAAGAAACTTAAATAACAATTTGGAGAAATGAATTATGGAACTTGAAGGGCAGGATGATGGTGAACTGTGAATTTTATGAAAGGAGAAATATAAAGCATTGTAATAATAAAGGAAGGAAGATAAAAAGCAAAGGCTGCTAGAAGAAAGGAGGGTGCAGAAAACTGGTCTGGAGAAATAATTCTCACTACCATCCTTATAGTGAAGGAGATTGCATGGAGCCATGAGTTGGTGATACCCTCCCCGCCCATCTTCCACACCTAGTCTCACTTTCCATTTCTGACAATCTCATGGTGACCAGATGTTTATGCTTTTGTGGGAATTTGAGGCCAAAATCTCACTGTGAAATTATAATTTGGGAAGGGGGCAAATCTATTTCCTACATGTCTATTTAACATGGCCATTTTGAGCCAGGAATGCAGGTCAATGCATCTGCAATCCTTTAGCTGCAGGATAACTGCTAGACAGATGTTGGTTGCTCTTGCAGGAGTTGGGAAAGAATGCCATAATCAAAAGAGAGTGGGAAAACAGCAGAGTGCAAAATTAACAAGTGAGTCTTAAGTGGCGAATTGCATGTAGCAGCTACTTGTACTATCTTGCAGATATAGGTCTATTGCAGGGAAATTTACTGTGTCCTGAACAGATAATCTGTAAGAGGAATTGGCAGGCAATAATGGCTTAGGCATGGATACCATGAGTTAGGGCAGCCCAAAATTCTCATGGTGGTCCGTGAGAAGGCCTTACTGGTACACTATTTAAACTGTTATGCTTACTCATATCATGATCTGATCACCATGCTCAATATATCCCATATGCATTGGGGTAACGAAACAAAAGGTCTGCTAGGGTAGACCCTCTTTCACTCAGACTCAGCCCCCCCCCCCCCCAAATCAAACTCAGCCCCTCTCGAATCAAAATCCTGGCCACAGGTCTGCCTTCAGCAGTATATAATGTACCTATCATGTTTTAATAAGACTGTGGTCTAACTCTTCAGACCAGCTAACAGTGTGATGTTTGTCATTCTTGGGAAAGATCCCTAGTAGTATGTGTTACTAGAGTTAAATTCATTTTCATATAAAGTCAGCTGTCCATATTTGCAGATTTAACTTTTGAAGATTTGATTAATTGTGAATTTGTCAAGTGTGGTTTCTCTAGGATTCTCTAAGTCCTGCAGTGTATGGTCAACCTCTGGTGGAACCTCCAGTGGAAGTTGACCAGAGAATCTAAAGATTCATAAAGGGGCATTCTCTCAGGGGTTTTTTTTTTAAGTGAATGATATTTTAATTTGTTTTTCCTACTTTCATAATGGCTCCATGTTCCTAATTTCAGCAAATGTGGAGAACTGGGTGTATTCTTCTCCCATTATAATATCCTTATGTTCCATCCCCAGACATTTTGTCAATTTTGATTGTGAATTCTTAGACCAAGGAATCATGTCTTTTCACATTAATCACTACTGTTGCCTACCTGGGGCCTGGGAAAACATATAAAACATTTAAAACATATGGTATAGATCAACCAGCATGTAACATGAATTCATTCTTTTCTGCCTTTTAAAAAGCCCAACATCTGCTCTTTCTAGCACCAAATTACCTCTATTATTCATCTATGAGACATTCTTCCAGTATCTTTTTAGCCACATATTTGAAAGTGCTAGACTGTGATACTTTTACATCACCCCAAAGTTCCAATTAAATGACTTTATGTACTTGAAAATTGCCACACGCTTTTAAGATAATAACATTTCCAGGAGATGATGAATGTTCATCATGCATACCTTTTGTATGGTTTATTTCATAGCCCTGCTGGACTTGAAAAGGATGAGGTTCTGATGGCAAAGGAATGTTCTTAGACTCAGATACTGGCATCGTTTCTCTAATGGATTCAGGTACTCTAATTTCTTGTTGGTCCCTAAATAATCTCTGTGCATTTGGAGAATGTTCAGTTACTTCTCCCTGGCTTAAGACAAATGGTTTTAGTTGTGCTTCAGCTCCTGAGTTTGCTTCTTCTGGGTGTCTCTTCTGTCTAGCAGGAAGCTCTTGTACTAATGCATTTGCATGGTTTCGCTTAGAATCATAGTTTTCTGATACAGATACAGCTTCATGGAGCAGCACATTTCTAGCCCTTTGACTTTCAGATGATGAAACACCACAATGAGAAACACTTTCTGCATGATCTGCTTTCCTTGAAAGGAGAGGAGCAGCAACAGCTACAGCAGCAACAGGACTGAGGAAGATTTGAGAGGTAGAACCATTGTGGACATGGGTTTCTGCGTGCAAATTTCCACAGTTGGGCATCCCATCGACCTCTGAGACAGAATCTTCAGTCAATGCAAGAAATTCAGAAGGTGTCTGTACTGTGGTAAGGTCAGTGGAAAGCATGGGTGACTGTAAAGAGCTGCCTACACATTCTATTACCTCAGGAGAACATGAATGAGAGGATCTTGATGAAACAGGCTCACTTTCAACACTAGGTTTAATATCCAGCAAGCAAGAAGATTGCTTCTCACAGGAGGTTGACTGACTTTGAGGAACTGGCTTTGAAAACCTATAGTGTGTTGAAAAAGATTTGGGGAGAAGTTTTCTTGAGGAACGTCTGACAGAAGATCTGCTTTGCTCCTCTGTAAATCCAGAGTCATCGCCTTCATTTTTTCCAGACCGTATGCAGTTTATAAAGACATTCTTATTTGATGAAGGCTCTCTCCCCTTTTCAAAGTCCTCTGTCAAGGACCTTGTAATCTTCTTGCTTCGAGAACTTCCAAAGCCTACTGAATGTCTCCCTCTGCTTTTCACATGCTCCTCCAAATTCAGCTTCTGCAAAACGTTGCTGTGGCTAGATTGAGAACCATTCAAAATACCCACAGTTTGGCTTGAAGGTTCATTTTTCTGTTCACTCCCCTTCTTGTGATGAAAGCTAATGGAAGGTGTGCGGAACAGACTCCGGCGTTTGCCTGTGCTTCCTGAGCTTGAGTTAGTGCTGGAGGGGGAAGAGCTGTGAACACCAACAGTACTGTTGGAAGTTGGAGATGATGGAAGAGAATTTTGTCTTCGACTAATACTTCTCCGGAATATTGGCAGTCGGGACACAATAATTGAACGTCTTGATCCTGAGTCCCCCATCAGGACCAGTTGTGCTTGAACAGATTCAGGTAATACTAAAATCTGTGTGGATAGAGAAGAGAAGAAAAATATTAAAATTGAAATTATTGACTAAGAAATTTAACACATTCAACTTTAACCTTGAACAATTGTGAAATGGATTTTCAGAATCAAATAGCTGGGAAGAATTAGAAAACAGTAACCCCCCCCCCCCCCCCACATTATCTAGAGGAGATATACCTGTGGATAACTCAAACCACAGATAACAGCAAACCATATCGTTTGACCATGCTTGGACCAAAAACATATCACAGAATTGTATTGGATTACTTATAGAGACCCGCAATCATTTCTGTGGATGGGATGTGACTTTTTTTAGCACGGCTAACTGAAACGATAGCAGTGTTTTCTACATTTTCATGTGTATATATAAATAACTGTGTACATATGGTGTCCCTTTTTCAATGACACCTTTGCTGGTATTTTTAGAACAATTAAGTGTTGGACAAATCGATACATACTGTATATACTCAAGTATAAGCCAACCCAAATATAAGCTGAGGCACCTAATTTTACCACAAAAACCTGAGAAAATATATTGACTTGAGTATAAGCTCAGGGTGGGAAATACAGCAGCTACTGGTAAATTTCAGAATAAAAATAGATACCAATAAAATTACATTAATTAAGGCATCAGTAGGTTAAATGTTTTGAACATTTACATAAAATTGTAATTTAAGATAAAACTGTCCAACTCTGATTAAACCATTATTCTAACCTTCTTCAATGTAAATGTGCTTACATATCTTCCAATAATAATAAAGATAATAAAATAATAAATGTAATAAAAATAATAATAGAGTAAAATAATGTCAATTAATAATAAATATAGTAAAATAATAAATAAATAAATAAATAAATAAATAAATAAATAAATAACTTTGACTCGAGTCTAAGCCGAGGGGAGCTTTTTCAGCCTAAAAAGGGTCTGAAAAAACTCTGCTTATACTCAAGTATATATGGTAGTTTGAGATGGTGAGTTAAAAGCTACATGGAGCTCTAGAAAAACACATATCATATGCAAACCAAACATCAGCAGCCAAAATACTAAATTGCCTTGATAATCGCACATAAGCATTGAAGTATTTTTTATTTCCCGCTGAAGAAATTAACTTTATGTTAGATCTTTTCATATTCCAATTTCTCATTATTATTTGTCATTTTTATGATGCATCTCAGTGAATGATACTTTACAATCCTCATCTTAAATATCCTCATAAAAAAAAGTCCTAAGAGAGATGCTAGGCAGAAAGAGTGCAGCTTCCCAAGGATTACCCAGGGAGCTTCAGTGCTAAATAGGGATTTGAGTGAATATGAGACACCAATCAACATCCCCACATAACTCTTTTATCTGCTCCACCAACGTCCCCCAAGTGTGTATTTCTGACTTTTTAATATAGGGTTCCCCCGCCTTTTTCATTCCACAAATTTTATTTTTATAACTTTTGCAGAAACCAGTCTGCATTCTTATCTGTTTTGAAAGAGATTGCTTTTGATGTGTGCAATGAGTAATTAGCATTTATATGAAGCCATTTCAAGTGTTGAAAGCACTTCTCCTGTGTTATACCTCCAGAACTCTTATGATAGATCTGGGCACACTGTATTAGTAGGGCCTACGGTCAACATGCTGCAGTGTGGAATGCTCCCAGTTAAAGGGCCAGTCAGTTCTACTCCCTGCCAAAATACTCAATTGCATTTGCCCCACCAGCTTCAAATTTAACCCAACCTCCTCCCCCCACCCCAAATAAAAAACTCCACTCAGCCTTCCATTTTTAATCTTGTATATTGTGGAGCTGTTTAGTTGCTCTTTAATATTTACTTCCTTAATTATTCATCTAAATCCTACTATTATGATGATTATCATTATTTATTTTTATATAACAACATCAGAAAAGTATACGAGATGAGAGGTCCATGAAATGTGTAAAAGGAATCAAGGTGGAGAGAAGAGAGAAAAGTATTCATGACTCTGTGAACATTGATCAATTAAAGGAAAAAGAAAATCATAGGAGGACCCACCACCTGATCCACAGGTTACTTTTTGTGGATCATGGTGTTCAAAATTCAAAAGTGATCACAGAGGAATTTGAGGAGCTGCAGTCTAAAAAGTTGTCTTCCTGTCCCCTGATCTGTGAGGGAGATTGTCATCTTTAGCCGTCTGATTCAGGAGACAGGGAGGTCATGGTACATTGTAACATTAATGTATTAACCATTGGTTGAAGACTTCTATTTATTTTTTTATCAGGCATGACACGAACACTCTGCAACTTTTCACAATTGTTTAAGGCCCCAAACCTCAGCAGTTTCTACCAACTGTTCTGAGATACCCATACCAAACAACACATTCCCAGTCAGAGCCATAATTTAACTTCCAGAAATGTCCTGAGCCCTATCTTGGATGCACCAGGCTAATGTGAAAACCATTAAATAATGTTTCATAGTCGCCAACCATTGCTACCACATATTCCTGTAATTTGAGAGAGGAAACATCAGAAGTCCACAAATGACTATGCCAAGGGCTTCCTCAAAACGGATGCTAGCCCTCCCTTCTGTATTAAGGATGCTAAAAGATCAAAGCTTGATCAAAACCACCAAGACTTTCACACTCTGAGCCATTTCAGATGACATTAGTTCATGCCCAAAGCTCCTGACCCAAGGAAGCATTCAACAATGCAACTCTTCAGCAAAATTTAGCAGAGAACCGCAGAAGATATTTGAGTGTTGACTCTGCAAGTTTTAATTCTGCTTATCCAGGACACAATGAGTTCTCTCTGGCATATTCTTCCCCTAGCCATAATTATTTTTATGCATGCAGAACCAGAAGTCAGAATTGCAGCCCCAAGGGGAATAGAAACCACTGCTTTCACTTGGTATCTCTTCGCGACTCATGAGTACATTGTGTCATGTTATAATTCATAGAAATATTACACTAGGAAAGCTAATCCTCGGAGGACTATATTCTAGCACAGGCCCCTATAAAACAAGGATTTCCTGTGCTGGCAAAGCAGTTTGCATAGGAGAGGATCTTGTTTTTCTAATGAACTGCCCATACAGAGACTAGGGGAGGGGGGTCACACATACTATGGAGGATAAACAATATCTGTCAACAGTGCAGCTAAGAAATGAGATTTCAGATGGAAAACATGTCCTTGTAATTCTCCCTCTCTCTCACACACACACACACATACACACACACTGAAAACTGAAACACCAACTCCAGAAAAAGGGCTGCCAATACATCTACAGGAAGTGGTGGTATTGCTACTATTATTATTAAAGCAGCTTTCAGAAAGGAATGGTTTTAATACATTCTATGTTGCAGTTACAGATCCATAACCTAGAATAACTGTTCTGTATTCAGTAAGACTACATAGGCTTATGATAAAATTATACAAATGCACCACAGTTTACTTTATCAACCAGCAAGGCAAACAAAGGCCTATTGAGATGTTGACATGGTGCAAGGAGGAAGACATTTCTAATCTCTTCCTGTCAATTAATGAGCTTGTTGCTGGAATGCTGGATCTAGCCCACGTTATCAGTCAATGAAGAACCAGCCATAGAATCAACTGTATTTACCTTTGGGTTAACACTTAACAATTGATTCAATAGATCTACTCTAATTGGGACTAACCAACTAGATTTCGGTCATAGGGCCCATCCAGACAGGCCTTAAAATTGCGACCTGTCTCAGTTATACCAGAGGTGTCAAAACCGCACCTACAGTAAAACTGAATTAATTAAACACCTGGTAAGACCCGGATCTTATAGTAAGATCCAGGTCTTACCAGGTGTGTGTCCTGTGTGGATTGGGCCCAGGGATCATGTCACATGATCCCTGAGCCCAGTCCACACAGCCATCTCAGTTTTACAGGCTGTGAGGGCCCCCACTCTCCCCCCCAAACCCCAAAATAGTCCCTAAAAAGAAAGTTGAACTACCTGGCCACCATTATGTTCCTCAAATAACCCCTAAAAATAACCCCCAACCCCAAAATAATCCATAAAAAGAAAGTTAAACTTACCTGATTGCCCATTATGTTCCTCCATGTGCTAGTGTACTGGGGGGGGGGGGGGGGGGGGGGAGGGGAGGAGGAAGATGGAACATAATTTCCTCATGCCTTCCTGGTGTGAGGAGGAACATAATGGTGGTCAGGTAAGTTTAACATTCTTTTTAGGGGGTTGGGGGAGGGGGCTTCAGAGCCACTGCATGCTATCCTGATTGTTATTGGGATAACATGTAGACACCCCTCCCCCAAAAGCCCAGGTTTTTGGAGGGCAGTGGGAACTTAAACCCACACTTAATCAGGTTATTTAAACCTGCTGTTTAAGCCCTCTCTAGATGCTGCTGAAGAAAAAACAACTAATATTGTTGAAGCATGTTTTACTTGGCATCAGAGGCATCTGAATAAAGCTTATGGCAAATAAAACTTGTTGTTTTAACTACTCAATAATTTTTTTCAATCAATCAACTTTTATGATGATACAGTTTTTGTAACATTAGAGATAACTGGAACTCCCTAATTCCATGCTTTCATGATCTGTGAGTTCACTTCCCCCTGTGCTCAACAAAACAAGGGAACCTTTCACACAACATATCCCTAAGTAAAATGAAGCTAGGATTCCACTGTAACTCCTATCCTATAAAATTATGGTGCTTGTCTTTTGCTGAAGCTCTAGGGCACTCTGGCTAAAAATTCCAAATACTACAAAATTCAGAACTCCATAATATGGAACCTTGGCACTTAACATGGAAGTACTACTTCCAAAATTAAGAAAAAGACAATACCCTAAAAAGTATAGAATGTAACTTATTTTGGGGATTGGAAATGGAATGACTTTACATTGGTGATTTAGGATTTTCTCTTCACAATTTCAGTAAGGATTTAAATCAGTGACTAAATGCACATACAATTAAAATAATCCATTCTGCTTGGAATTTTCAATGCAGAATGTCACCAGAATTTTAAAACCTGTCAATTGTGTTCTTACAGATTATCTCAGTT